CCGGGCAGCACGCCGCGGTCCTGCGTCCGCACTGTTCCCCCTCTCCGCCTCGCGTGCGCACAGACACGCACACACACGCTTGCCACACTCATATACACGCACACACAAGTACGCGCACACACCGGCCCCTGAGTGGTCAAGAGACTTCCACTTACTTCCTCGATCGGCGCAGCCCTGCACTGCCGGGCGCTGCGCTTCTGCTGTGGACTCGCGCGGGTAGCCCATTCACTCGGCTTCATTGATCTCCAGCAGCAACATAGTTACTTTCTCTTTTGCTACACTGTAAATGTAAGATTCCGAGGGGGCGGACCGGCCACCGACCGACGGCAAGTTAAGCCAATCAGAAGCCGGGGAAGGCGGACCGCCACCTCATCGAGACCGGCAGCCAATGGGCTGCCGGGGGCGTGACTGGGGGCGTGGCCCCATGGCATTTGGGCGGTTCTGTCGGCCGGAGCCCGGGTCCTCGGGACTGAGACTCGGGCGGTGATGTCATTGGCAGCCAATCAAACCCTCGAGAGGTTGCTTCCAATTTACCGGGAAGCCAGTCCAGTGGCCCGTTAACCCTTCCGCGCCCGGAGTCGGGGCTGCACTCGCCCGTGGTGACGCTGGTTCCCTCCACTCGCCGGGCCTCGGAGATCCCGCACCCGCGGACACCTGGCAACCGCGGAGTTCCGCACCCATGGACACTGCGCACCCTCCGTCACCAGCGCCTCGGGCCACGCGCGGACACCCCGCTCCCACTTGACACCTCGCTCCCGCAGACACCCCGAGCGTCCCTTTTCACTCCCGACTCAGGCAGAAGATGAGAGGCGCAGGGCCAGTTTTCTAAGGCGGGACCACGGCCCCTCTCGGTCCCTAGGGGACAGCGGGCGCCCGCAGATGTCGCTGCCCGGTGCTCCCGGCGCGGCTGCAGCGCGCTGTCCTGCTGACGCTTCCCTGCCTTCTCCAGCCCGTACTTGGGCCCGAGAGGAGCGTCTCCACCTCGCTCAGGACAGCTGGGAGGATAAGGAGGCGGGGGCG